CTGACCATGTGTTCCCTATCTGGTTAGGATTCCTCGACTGCAAACGGGATTATATGGATTTCACTATAGGTGTTCTATAACTGATCAAAAACCTCTTTATTCTCTAAATGGTCGCCATTGTTGGCGCTTCAACCCTCTAAATTGACGCCGCAGTAATAGATCCAAACTCATATATTTTTCTCAATCACTTGCCTGCCTCCTCTCACGTATGCCATTGCTACCACTACTCCCGCCACAGCAAATCGAGCGAATAGAGAAATTTTATTTGGGATGCTAAGTTGGAACAAAGAGTTTGCAGCAACTAAATACTGATAAATAAGCTAGCCACAGTATTTTACAATCAGCGCAGCGTACATATATATTTTACGAAAAACTAAAATATTATGATGTCGAGACAACTAGGGGCTATGCAGTAGATACCAAGCAAAAGATAAAACTGCAGGCATGGTGGCAGGATATCGGGACAACAAATATTCCTATAACCTCACTGTATTGAAACTCACGTACAACCTGAGGGGATGCGACTCTGCTAATACCAATGTGAAGAAGGAGTAGGAACAGACAATATCGCGCCTACCGTTAGTTCTGTCTGTGTGAAGACGAAACAAAACAAGAGTACGAAAATGCTGGAGGGGTACCAGGTAAAGAAAGCCCTTGTGCACCTAACAATGTTTTATGAAAATGTAGCCATTAGAAGTGTAGCCATTTCTTTATCTGCTCAATTCTTTAACTGAAACAGCGTCCTAGACCGAGCGAACTGGGTGTCATTTATAGAGGTGTGACTGTATAGAAATATAGTACTGGTACGTCCATACAAATTTCAAGTCAAATTTGGAACTATAGTAATACTACAAATAGTACACGTAGGTAGCGTGTTACCTACAAAAATACTATATAAAATAGTAGTGCTTGGCGGTTATACTTTTTGCACTATTGTAGTATTTCCGGGTTCCAAGCAACACAACACACAATGATGCGGGGGCCAACCCGCACGGAAGTAGGGCTCTGTGTATTGCTAGGAAGAATCGAAAGTGAAGGGGGTGAGGCACTGTGTCTGATGGTAACCAGCCCGTGGCCTCACCAGCCTCCTAACGAGAGAAGCAGCTTCTAAAAGCTACTAGAAGGCAGCTGCTGCTCGAAGAAGTGAACAAACAGAATAAACTTGCACTTGAGCCTACTAAATCCTCATGTAGCTCGACTGGACATTTCAGTCGAGCCACGCAACTGCTCGACCTGTTTACGCGGTAAGCCACCTCAGCGTCGAGAGTAATCATTCGAAGAGATCATCCATTGTCATCAATCGGTGCTGCTGACGCACTTGGGTTATGCTACGGTGACACCAAGCTGGACCTGGAATTCACTACAACTATACAACTTGTATGTTATTCTGCACTAATATTGAAGCAACTTTATTCGTTGGTCGTCTTGAGGACTCAACAAAATACAAGGGTCTAAGCTTCTCCACTATTGTTTTGCATCTGCCCTTCCGCCGACATAACCCAGCTTTTTCGCGATAGAACGAAGTGTAAGCTCAACGGACCCAGGAGATGGTGCATTTCCTAAAATAAAATTGTCATTTGGTTTCCATGCATCCATAATAGCTTTAGATAAAATAGGTTATCTTCAATAGACCAATGTTATGTGAAGCCAAGTACCCAGTCCTATTAAAGTAACAAAGAAGCAATAGGATAGCCTTGCGGAATACCAACCGCTCCAACCTCCTCTACAGGTCCTTCGTCCACGGATCCTGCAAACTCGGGAATGAGCCGCGTTCGAGTTGAGCGAGATTGGGCTTTTCGGGTTGAGTAAGAGATTCTGATGTGAGATCTTCACCTTCATCAATTTCTGTATCTTAATTTCTGAGTCTAGAACCTTCTAAATAGTTAAAATCCAACTTTAACGGGAGGCTTCATCTGATCGGCTTCAAATGATCGGATTTGGGCTGCGCTTGCAGCTTTACTGCTATCCCAGAATTAATGTAGTTTGGAAATAGAGACATCTTACCAAAACAATAAATGCAGTTCGTGTAAACATCTCGTTGAGGATGATATTATACCGTGTTGCAGCAACTTGCGCATGCTCATAACAGCAAATACTGTTCGTACTGGTGCACGCATTTATGTCATATTGCGCAAAAAATGCGATGCCCAGTGAATTATTTCTGATAGAATACCAGTGGTTATTTGGGCTTTCTTAGCCCTGATCGTTAGCAAATAGCTTCGCGAACTACTTGGAAAAAGAGCTACGAAACCGCGGGTTACAGTTATGCAATTGTAAATATTGCGATATGGTGACTACTACTAGTATATTGATGACTCATAGAGTAACGGATGTCCACCTGCAAAGCCTCAAGGTTTTCGGTTCATACTAGTTTAGTATATTGGCTCCCAACGGTACTCAGCTCTCGCAAGTCTCTTACCGCGGCAACTCTGCTCAGTTGTGAAGGGGGGAATCATATCAATGGATACTTAAGTACTTAGGTAGACTGCAGCCTTCGCCGTGGTGTCTTTCTCCTTCACATCGACTCGCGACTTACGCAACGAGATATTGCAACAACCCCTCGGTTCACAACGGAATAACAAAGCAATCTAAAGGCTGCACTAGGGCTTCGCGGGGGCTGAGATAGCGAAAATAAAACACGCACCAGTCGTCCGCGCTGTGCGTATATCTGTTCTGTTTTATTTTACCAGTCGTCCGCGCTGTGCGTATATCTGTTCTGTTTTATTTTCGCTATCTCAGCCCCCGCGAAGCCCTAGTGCAGCCTTTAGATTTGCTTTGCGCCGCACTTGCGGCGCACCAGTCGTCCGCGCTGTGCGTATTATATTATGAACATCCACAACTACCAGATAAGCAGCTTCTTAGTGCAATAACCCACTTGCGATAATATCAATTTACTTTCTTACCTCCGCGCTGTTAATAATCAAATACAAGCAAGCTATTAGCTGCAACAGCGCCCTACCAAGCACTTACCTTCGTGCTGTAGCTTCGTCCTGGTGTTGCGTCTTCGGATTGAGAGAATGGGAAATGGTTCGAATGAAACTTGATGATGCGATTGATGCTTCCTCGGCAGCTCACGGATGACACCGTGGACCGGCTGTGAATGTCTGCGCCGCTGCGTGCGGCGGCGTATTGCGGCGGTCTTTTGACCGTCAGCCGGAAGGCGGGGCCTGTGGGTGGTCCACGGTGGTCTACATGTAGCCCATCGCGCCGTTTCCCATTACAAACCAGACGCCGTGGGTCCTCCTGGTAGTCATAGCCTACAAAGGTTGCGTGCGATACTGGCAGGTCACCAGATCGTCGGGTGTGCGGGACTCCAACGTGCGCACACCCTCCACAGCACTCGTAGTGACGCGCAGGAGCATGCTGTCAGTCAACGTGGCCTGCGCTACATGGAGTTGGCTGCGACGGGGTGGTCCTCTCATGGTGCACTCATGGCGCGGCGGGGCGAAGAAAGTCGCAGTGGTAGAGACCCAGATACGGCTGACTCAGGGAAGGTGACGACACGTCGCCGCATAAAGCGCTGCTGGGGCGCTCGCTGGTGGCCTGCAACGCATTGGGAAGAAGGAACGCAAGTCGGCCCAGGAAAATGCAGAACTCAAGCTTCGGAGGGCAGGCGCTGCTGAAGGAGCAGCGGGACCACGTTCGCTATCCGCGGTACCAAATCGACGGAAGTCGAGTAGACCGTTTCAACTATTCGGCGGGGCATCGGGAGATATGAGCTCGATGTTGACGGTGGATGCGTCGGTCGTTATCTTAGTTAGGATAAATGAACTCAATCTAACCTCAACCTTGAAATGAAAAAAAAAATGATTGATGCTTCCTCACCGATTGAGACCGACTAGATGATTATTTAGATGACCTATTAAGTTTCATAAAATTTCAATATATGAGGGATACTTAAACAGGTGCGATACACGCACGGCTTCATGCGACACCGATTTAATCCTGTGCCGGCTGCGTAGCAGCATACCTTACGGTACACATGTCTTGCGTCTAGGCTCTCCGTGTGACGGTCTGCTCGTTTTTGGCCTTGGCCTCTGCTGTCTGGGCTCTCCGCGTGGCGGTTTGATCGTTTTGTTGCGTCTGCTCCTCGTCGACACAGTTGCTGTTGTTGGTTTCTCTCGTTGGCGTCCGCACTTGTTTGTTACGTCTGCTCCTCGTCGAGACAGTCGCTGTTGTTTGTTTGTCCCGGTCGGTTTAGTTGAGTTCCGCCAGCGCCTCGCCGACCAGTAGTTCAGCATCTCGACCCCCTCCACGGTAGCGTAGGATTCGCAATTTCTACTATGTCACAATTTTTAAAACGAGTGATAAGTGATATGGTAGCACTTAGAGAGGAAGTACGGCGGCATCGGGAGTCAAGATGCTGTGTTGAGTACGCTGGAAAATCGAAACTGAGATTGAGTTTAGCACCTTCGTCCTATTCCTCCTAAGCAATTATAGTCCTTGGTGCCTGCAACTTCAATATCTAACTTCAAGCACATCGCTTCCTACATCTTTAACTTCATCCAGATGACTGCGTTGCACGCAGGTCACACGGCTTACTGCAGCTTGATCTCCACAAAGTTGGCAGATCGTTACCCGTTTTCGCGCTCTATGTGTTTGTAGTCGATAATATCGTGACAATCTGGTAGTATACCTTCCTAAAATTGATAAGTGCTCAATTCAATAGTATACGGTACACAAATTGGCGCTATCCGTTATTAGCATTTGCTAATCGCCCTGATAATTCCTAGTCTAAAATAGAGGTGGGGAATCTAATTAGGAGATCAGTCGAAATAAATAAGACTTTGGAGTCTAAATTAGCCAAGACCTCGACCAATTTACTATCCGATTAGACGTGATCGCAATATATCAATTCCTGTATACAAATTCCTGAAAAAGCAAGCACGTTGCCACATAAAAACTTACGGGATGACTTGAAGCGTCGCCTTGTCACATGTGGCGCGTCCTTTCATGGCCACTCGATCTAAGTAGCAGCTTCCGGTGCAGAACTCAGGTTCATGACCGGCACGAAGGGCAGAGGCCGGGGCTCCGTGGCCGCGCGGTATGCGCGCGCCAACGCGCTGGTGGGGTCCGTGCTGAACAAGTTCCACAATGGGTCGGAGCGGGCGGTGGACCCGTTCGTGATCCGCACGCTGAAGGAGCACGAGCCGCGGCTGCTGGGCATCCGGTGCTTCGTGGAGCAGGTAGAGTACGCACAATAATAATAAGCTTATCCTTCCTGAGGCTGCGGGTTGAAGACTGAAGCGGGCGTTGCGCAGGGGCCAGCGGAGGACAGTCGACGCGCCAAGGACGAGTCGCACGTGGTCAACCACACGACGCACGCGTCGGGCATTTTCGGGCTCTTCACAGTCTGCGGGGGGTTGTTCGGACCGGGGGTAATCATGTCAGTGCGGGTTTTGTGGCGGGAGCTTGGAGGTGGAGGCTTATCTACTGTGAGTTTTGTGCTTTGACAGGCGTCAGTGGGATGCGTGCAGCGGAACGGAGGGCGACACGGACGAGCGGGAGGCCGCCATGGCGGAGTACGTGGCTACGGTGGACAAGATGCTGCCTGGGTGGGACGAGAGCCTGCCGGACCACCCCGTTGCCAGCACGGACCGCTTCTGGGAGGACGATGCGACGGCGACGAACTGTCCGCTGTGCTTCGTCGCCTTCTCCGTACGCGAACGTCGTCACCACTGTCGGTTGTGCTTCTCGATATTCTGCGCGGGCTGCTGCGGACAGATCCTGGAGGTCGCCTTGTGTCCAGGCGCGCCGCTGCGCGCGCAGCGCGTGTGCACGCCGTGCTATCAGGCGGAGTACCGTGCCCAGCAGCTTCGAGAAGCGAGGAAAATCAGCCGCGAGAACCAGGAACTCGAGCAGAGGATTCGCGCGGTGCTGTCTACAGCGAAGCAGACACTTGCGGCCAAGCAGCAGGAGGAACAGAAATTGCGCGCGCTGGCGATTGACGCGGGCTGCGACGTACAGGCTCTCGATGAGGCTATTCAGAAGCAGCACGGCGGATCCCCCATAGGCTCCGCGTCAATGGAGCTGCGAACGCCGCCAGCAGCGCACCGATTCGCACCAACGCAAACCTCGGTGGAAGCCTCAAACCAGCTCGCTCTGGCTCATCGGCAACTAACGATGAGCTTCAAGATGGCGCAATGTCGTGCTCATCGGGTGCTCGACAAGATGAACGCAACAATCGCGGCGTTGCGAGATGCTGTGAACACTCAAAAGTCGACGAACAACAGGTCGCCATCGCCTGATCATGAAGACAACGGATGGAGCGCCATGATTCGCCACACGGACAGTTTCCTCACGCAAACCGATCGGGAGGCGCTGCAAGTTGTTCCGGATGAGCTCTACAGCCGTTTACGCTCTCGAAGTAGCAGCTCCGTTGACAACTCGGCTGCATCGGACCAAAGTATTGCCATGCTGTGGCAGACGGAGTGTCTGAAAGATAATCGGACGCGGACTTTTGTCACAGACTTGGCTGAAGCTGTGCGTGCCAGGCTAGATGCTTCGTCAGGGTCAGATACTGAAGACTCGGACGCGAATGAGGCACCCGTGGCCACGTCACGTCCGTTGTGGGAACAGCCTGTGCAGACTACAGCTAATGCTAGCCCAGCGTCCAATTCGGTACCGACTTCTTTGGAGCTTGAGAAGGTGTACGAGCTCATCTGTACACAGTGCGAAACGGGGCCAGCGTCGGAATGGGATGAACAGATTCGCCTCGATGTCACGAGAACATTCGGGATATCCGCGCGGCGGCAGCACCGCAAGAGCATAGACCCTACTTCACGTGCTATATGCCATTCGAACGGCGTCGCAATTCCACTCGAGAGACGGCAAGCAGCGCTGCAGAATGTGCTTCGGGCTTGTGCTAGCGTGGATACCGAAGTCGGGTACTGCCAGGGGATGGATCACGTCGCGGCGTTGATGCTGGCTGTGAGTGACTGGAACGAAGCGCGTGCATTCTGGTTGCTTGTTAGCCTCCTTGCATCCCCACGGTTCGAGCTTGAGAGACTGTATGGGCCAGGACTGCCGCATCTAACTCTCCGCTGCTTCCAGGTAAGAAGGTTAAGAACTACTTTCTCGGGCTAGAATTGTACTAACGTGTCGTGATGTTTAGCTGGACCGCCTTCTACGAATGCATCTACCTAGCACTTTCAGGCTATCGACTTCCCAATCAGCATCGTTGCAACAGGGTAGGCTTGAGCACATACGATACAGGTGCCCGACTATTTTTGCGCTAACGCTGATGTTGCTGTATTTGCAGGTGGTTTATGACTCTTTTCACCAACATGGAGGCGCTGTCCTACGACGTCGTTATACAAGTGTTCGAGGGATTTATTTTCAAGGGATGGAACCATATCCTCCGCACCGCTCTTGTGATCTTGGAGGAGCTGTAGAGACCCATTCTTGCCAGCTCTTTTGACGAGATCCCTCGCCTGTTTTACGACATCCAGGAGTATGCGGTGAGTCCTTGCAGGATTTCCATCTCATGCACGTGTATCACCATCGTTAATGTCTATTATCTTGCAATATACTTTCGTCTTTGTAGCCTCGACTCATGGACGCGGGATACGTCCTCACGCAATCAGCAAAGTTCGAGGTGTCTGATCGAATGTTGAAGCGTTTGCACAACGAGTTCGAAGAGGAGACACCGACAGCAGAACCATCCACCAGCAAGATTGCACGACCTCCCAAACTTACCCCCAAGAACGACAGTCTCACAGGCCGACGCACTACAAACCAGCGCCCTCAGAAAAGAAGAGCATCGCTTCCGCCTTCCTATCTGCGGCCAGAAGCTCGACAAGAACGACAGTTTGTGTCACGAGATCACATCTCGAAAGCCCCTTCCTCAACAAGGCGAGCCTCTCCGTCGCAAATGCAGTCACCAGCCGTCGTGTGATGAGGTCACGAACCTCCTGACCTCCCTCCCCCTCAGTATTCTAGTGCCCTAATGAATAGTAAAAACAGATAACCTGTATCGCACAAGACGCGTTGTTTCTCTTTCTCTTTAGCTAGAGCTTCCGCAGGTTCAAAAATCCCTGTGCCTTCTCATCAAGGTCGTACGAGATGACAACAAGGGCTCGTGCTGGCAGTGCCAGGAACAAATCAATCGCCAGGCCCGCCACGTTGCCAGCACTGTGATGCAGACGCCGAATTGCTGGATGGATGGATGATGGAGAGCAAGTCGCCTCTTTCGTATCGGTCGACGAGCGCAATAGAGCGGCTGGTTCACCGTTCACGAGCACTTGGATAGCTGGGGAGTAGTTGGTGAAGAATGCTGCCTGGAGATGATAAAGCCCTGGCAGCAGCAACCTCACCTCGTCGGACCCAAACTGCCACAAGAAAATGTCCGCATTCGTGTTCACCACTTGAGAGCTCCATTGAATCGTTTGCTTTGTGCTGGGAGGGCCATCCTTCCAGATCTACAACAGAGGAAGCACCACTTAATCAGCCTGCATTCTTTTGTAGGGATAGATAGTAGCAATACTTACATAGCGAGCTTGGTAGATTTCGCTGCGTAGCTGCCGCGTAATGGCTTGCAACTGTCGGTTGATGCTCTCGACTTGAGGTTTCGTTGCAAACTCGCCAGCTGCTGCGCTTTCCACTTGCTTCATGGCGTTCTGCAAACCGTTCAGGGTCGACTGCGAGTCCAGGAGATCCTTAACGTCTGCAACAGACATCTTCTCGTTCACGATCCGCTGCAACGCGCTTAACTCATGCTGAATGGACTCGGCGAGTGACAACAAATTGTGCTGGCGAAGTGTACAATGCTGTTAGACACCACAACATTATACTGGCAGCCCTTCTGACTTACCATGTTGTGCTTGACCTGCACAAGCTCCAACGCATCGGCCTTGGCCTCGTTGAGCTGTCGCAACTGGCCAACGTCGTCCATTATGGTTTCTTGAGATCGCTGAATATTGTCGATTAAAGCATAGGCGACCTCTTCGACTCGAGCGCTGTCGGCCTTCTCTGCGAGCTGCTTCCACGCATCCACTGTAGGGTAGCAATTGTTAGTGCGTGGCATATTCTGCAGCGCTCAGACGCAGCTGACAGGCGTACTCGCATCCATCTTCCGAGTTAGCAGCTTTGTGATGTCGCTCTTGCAGAGCTTCTTGCCGATGGCCAGCAGCAATTCTTGTCTACATCCAGCAATCTCCTTCTGCATCCGAGCCTCCATTTCTTCGACGTCTTGGGAGATACGTGCTAGATCTTCTCGTATCGCATCCTAACAAAGCACCGCATCCAGGCTCAATTAGCAGTCCGTCTTCAGCCGGAGCCACGACTCGTATCACTCACCTCCTCCCTTTCCTGCAATTCTGGCGAAAGAGCTACCTCCTTGACGACTGGAACAGCAGCAGCAGCTTCTCGTATCCTTTCACTCTCCATTAGCTTGCATTCCAAGCTCTCCACCTTCTGGGCCATATCTTGCCGCAGCTTTGCGAACGTTTCTGTATCCTGAATATGCGAAGACTTGAATTGCAACTCCAGACTCTTTAGCTGGTCCTGCATGCTGTCTGTCAACTGAGCCATGCGCTCCTCCGTCTTGCATCGTAGCTGCTCCAAGCTTTGCTCGACCAGCAAACATTTCTAAAAGAACGTGTCAGTTTTTGAGCAGATTGTACTCAGCGTGCATCCATACCTTTGTATTCACTTCTTCCTGGTGCTGAGTTTTGGCTGTGAACTCCTCTTTGGCACTTTGTAGCGCTGTTTGTTGCTGCTCCAAGCCCACAGAGAGCTGTCAATACGATTTATCAATTGTCTCTCGATGAATGCACATCATGAGAGGAGACCACCAACCTCTTTGCGCAGCCTGGCCGTTCGACGCTTCGCATCTACACGGACGCGCTCCTCCAATGCCATGGCAAGATCTGAACTAACAGCCGTCGCCTGAGCACGCTCCAAGTTGTCGATGCGAAGCTGAAGCTTGTGAATCAACCGAGCCTGATCTTCCAGCACACGCGCCACCAGACCGAAAGACTCGGGCAACACGGTTTGGACATTCCGCCACTTGCGCTCGCTCTGTAGACTCGTTGCCAGGGCCTCCAGTCCCTCATTCACAACAATATCCTCTGGCATGGCCAAGTCAAGGGTCCTTTGTTCAGTTTAGACGACGCTTCAAGCTGCCAAATCGTAAATGATATAGGAAATGTAAGGAGAACTAGTTACCACGTGCCTCGCACTTCAACTGTCCGCTGCTTGGGCGTCGCTGCAAACCGGAAATTCAAACCCAGAAGGACGGAGTCGAGACGGTGAAGCGCCTTGGGCTGGCCATTTACTGCGTCACCGCTCATCACTGCACTTATCATCACCGTCTTTGAGGGTAGTGGGAACATTTCCTTTACAAGTGAGAGGGGCTCCTTGTCGAGCGCTTTCAGAGCCTCAATGGCCGCGGACACCCTGTAGCCATAACAGTCATTTATCTTCAGCAACTCGCGGGACATCCGGCAGTCGGGGTCTTCCAAACACTCCGGTAGACCGTTCAAGAAGTTGCTCTTGCCAATTGACAACTGCTTAAGGCCCCAGTCGCACAGCGCTTGAGTGGGCACGGCGCTAGTATCAAAGCCGATGAGCTGGAGCTCTTCAAGTTCCGGACAAACTGCAGCCACATCGGCGAGCTTAAGAGTTGGCCCGTAGTCTCCCCAAAAGTTTAATCGGAGCTCTCGAAGTCCCCTACCGATCAGCCCCAGCAAGTCCCGCACCAATATCTCGCTTCCCATGCCAGAGATCGCCAAACTGAGCTCACGAAGGCGACGAGAGCGTTCTGGCTGATGATTTGGAGCGTCTTGAACGAACTGCCCCATCCGATCGTCGGCTTTTAGTGTTAGCCGGCAAATTCCATACCCAGGAACAACGACGTCCATGGAATCGGCCATAGCGACGTGGTTATAAAGCGCTCGGTACTGTAGCGATGCGAGTGCGACAGCACAAGCACAGTGTTGTTTCCTGGGTTCGCGGAACCTTCGAGTCGAAGCTCCGTTCCCTCTCGGACCGTGAGAAAGCCGTATTCTGGAGGCCTCGTTGGATCGATAGAGTTCCGCTCCCGTATCGGTTCAGGATAATTGGATTCCAGCACCTCGGCAGTGTCGGATACGCACTCGTGCGTCGGATTAAAAAAAAAACTCGTGGTGCTCTGCAGCATTTTATCGGGCGAGCCGGACTCGCCACTACAAAGTCCATACATTAGCCAGCGCCAACGCATCAGATCCAAGGATTGGGCGTCAGCACCAGTGGGTGGATACCCTCAAAGTTTCCGGTGGGGGCAATTCGGCTGCTGAGCAACTTTGGAGTTGGACGCCCACTTGAGATCCAGCTCTAGCTCCTTGTACGTGGCGTCTCGCGTAACTGGCGAGGTTGCGCGGTTAGTCCCCGTCAGGCGGCACATGGACCGACCAGCGATCAGCGTACTAAAGAGAAAGCCCGAAATCTTCGTCACCGGTTTGTTCTTGGCTTCTTCATCGTCTAACTCCTCTGTCAAGCACGCAAAGTCCGTCATCGCTAGAGGCCTCGTTATCCCTAGAACAGAATGATGATCGACCTGCGCCTTGAATGTTTTAGCGTCACCGACGAACGCCCCAGACGTTTCCCCCCCTCCACGCTTCGACCACCAGAGCTCGGGCTCGAACAACGCAAAAGTGAACAAGCCGCGGGATTTCCATCTCTAAAACTTTCCCCAACTCACGCGAGAATGCGTCCACCGTCAACACCTCGTCAGTTGGATCACGGGACAGATCTTGCTCCCCATTCGACGACACCGCCTCGTGCCCCAAGGCCCCAGGTACAGGCACACTTTTCAGGATAATTTTCCTTAAGTAGCGCCCGGTTCATGATGACTAGGGTCAGATCGTCTATTGAGTTACTACTTTTCACTGCTACGATGTCTGCTAAGTCTTAGGGTCCCGACCTTCTACCATGACTCGTTCATGTATTCCTCCTCATTCTGCTGGCTCGATGCTTCGGGCGTCACGGGGGCACTCCACTCATGATGAAGGTGAAGTTTGAAACTTCACCTTTAGAAACTTCAAGTTTGTGCTGTTTGATTATTGACGCTTTGAGGTTTCGACTGGGACCGCATCATGGGATATGCTCCCTGCAAGACATGATGGCTTTGTATGAGCCGAGGCCCGAGTGATCAGAACCACCGTACCCTGTACACATGTGAAGAAAACAAATGCCTCGTTCGCTTGTAACATGCATGGTCCAGGTGGCGCGATGAGACGATCGGTTCCTGCCGCTCAAACAGAAAAAATGCCGAGGCCCCCGCGGCGGCGGCAATGGCTGTGCTTCATTTGTGATCAAGCCGTCCAGCGGCGCGAACGCGTCTCAGTAGCGCGATGGAACCTCGCCGGGCCCCTCAGCACCACAGGAGCGCAGAGACCAACTCAGCTAGGTATCGCTTTCTTGACCAAGTCGACCACGATGACGCCGAAGGATGCGCCGACGCCGCATCGGAGACCAAGACCAGTCGTCGCCCAAGCAGCGGCTTTCTCAGCCCTGCTGACCTGCTGAGCGCTCCGTGGTTCGGGTGGCTGTCCGTCTACGCCTTCACGCTCTTCTGCTTCTCCGCCAGTCGTTGGCTGGCGCTGAGAGAGGTCATCATGATGTACAGCAGCGCCAAGGACTACGTCTTAAGCGTGAAGCTCGCTTCGATGGGCCTTGGTTTCGTGGAGGACTTGGTCTGCACCACCTACTTCGTGTGCGCACTGTGGCTGTTTGACTCCCTGAAGCGCACGGTCGGCGACCGGTTCGGCGCTGAAGGCGGCAAGCGGAGGTGCGTCCTGAAGCCTCAGACGGTCGGCTCGCTCGCGACGTTTGTGGTGTCGTGGCTGCTGTTCTTCGCCTTGATGACGCCCTTCGTCGCGGACTTGCTGCTCGTGGTGAACCGCGACATGCGCTTCACGTTCGACCTCGTGACGATGGCGATCAACGAGAAGGAGTTCGCGAGCGCGGCCCCGATATTGACCGAGGAGATCCACCGAGGCTACGTGGGGGCGGGCGTGCTGGTGGCTGTCACGACGCTGTTTGCGTGTGTGCGTGTGAAGGCTGCGTGGGCTGATCTGTCGGTTTGGAACCCGACGCACGTAGTGGCGGCTGCGGGTGGTCTTAAGTACATGGAAGTCGCTCTAGAAGAGGACGCAGATAGGCTGGAGTCGCCCAACACCAAAGATCAGGGCGTTCGCAAGCTTTCCTGTGTGCACTATAACGCTATCTACCACCACGGTTTGCGGGTAGCTATCATCCTCGTGGGTACCGTAGTAATGCCCGCCGTTGCAGTCGCGCTACGCTGCGCATGTTCCCCGCTGGTAGCGTACACCGGTATGAATGCGACACTTAACGAATTGTTCGGCCACGCCTTTCAACCCGCACCGACAGACACAACATTTTCAACAGTGAAGGGCGACAAACCGTGGGCCGAAACGTATATCCACCCAACTGAGAAGTACGAGCTGTTTGGAGACGATTCTCTTTACCGACGCACCACCGGCTTCCAGGGGGATCTCGCTTTCGACGTCAATATCTCCAACGAGAACCCTCCCAACGTCCTGGTCATCGCAGTCGAGTCCTTCCGCTACCAAGACTCTCGTTACCTGGTCGGAGAGGAAGACCCGTCCAACCTGTTCAATGGAACGAACATGACCATCACGCCGAACTTCGACAGGTGGGCCAAGCGCGGAGTGGCTCTCCGCAATATGTGGTCGAGCACCCCAACGAGCAGGTCTTTGGAGAGTCTGCTATTCGCGCAGATTCCGTACGACAGCACTGTGAAGACAGGCATCACCGGCGGAAGGAAGGAGACAAAGCTGTCTGGTTTACCCCAACTCTTCAAGGCCAAGGGGTACGAAACATTTTTCACGACGGGGTGCCCGACGCGCTTTGAGAACTGGGATGTGTTTCTTCCTACCCACGGCTTTGAGACCGTCTTGGAATCCAAGGAAATGAAGCTTCTGGCTGAGAGTAAACTCGGTATTCCGCGTGGAGACTGGTCTGGCAAAGCACGTCGTGGGTTCAAGTGGGGGGTCCACGACGATATCAACTTGCAGCTTTTGGGTGAAATGTTCATTGACAAGACGAGGGAGCAGCGAGAGCGAGTTGCACGGGGTCTACCCAAAAGGCCATTGTTTACCACGCACTACACCATTTCCAGCCATGCGCCTTTCAAAGCACGCCCGGCATGGTATGCTAAGGCCGACAAGCCAGACTTCTCCGCGTTCTACAAGGGGCAAAAACACTCGACTATGATCAAGAACTACCTCGAAATGCGCTACTTCACGGACATGCAGCTGGGTAAATTCATGGACCGCATGGAGAAGGAGGGCGTCCTCAACGACACCATCGTCGTCATCGTAGGCGACCACGGCCAAGCGCCTGAAGCTGACGTTACGAACACGCACGAGGAGTCTGTGACCCGTGTGGCAGGCGCTATCATCGCCGAGGGTCGGTTGGGTGAAGCTGCTGGACTTGTGATCGAGGACGCCGTGGATCACTACGACATTCTCAACACGCTGGCAGATATCACAGGACTGCCTGAGGGAGGGTTCGTGCAGACTGGCGTCGGGCGCTCACTCAAGCGCAAGGTTCCGTTTGGCGAGCGCGTGGTGTACAGCAACGACCCGAGCCGCAAGATGGCGATCGTGCGTGGCCACCAGCGCCTTCGCTATGATCAAGTAACGGCTTCGATGAGCTTGCATGATACCGAGCGCGACCATGCCATGAATGTCGATATGTTTCCGAGCCTTCCAGCCGAAGAGCAGGCCGAATGGGAGAACTGGCGCGAGTACGGTCGCCGCGTCACCGCGTACTTTAAGCAGCGCTTGGATGGCAACTGCCTGCTGGCTGTTGATTGTACTTCAGGTAGCTAACTAGGTTGTGTGCTTGTAGACTATCAGTAATATCAAAAGCATTTGTACTACATACTGTAGTAGCAGTCTTCGTCGATAATTGGTATAAGGACCATATTCCATATTCACCTGGCCAGTACGGCCAGCATGATTAACAACTAAGCCCATTCTCCTCCGAAAACGACTCACCCCGCACAAGAATGAGCTTTTACGTTGCAAATTTTAAATTATTGACTGCTGCTGATTCCTAATTTAAAATTAAATACTGCTACGTGGTTTATTTTTCTAAGACACGGGATTAAATTACATGTTCTGGTTTACAGATTCAATATTATTATATATAGGCTATATTAATAATTTATAGCACAACAATTCGGCGCTGGTAAGTGTACAATACTGTACGCTTGCATCACCATCATTTTTAATTTTAAGGTCCCATCGAAGAGCTGTATCGATGGAATTTTCAATTCCTGAATTAAAATTCAGGACTTCCAATTGCAGAGCAGGCCGAGAACACAAGACACAAGGCGCACACTCACCCGGTTACATACGGGTTGCTGCTACAGAAAGTGATCGTAAATGCTGCACACCCTGAGGGCGGACTCAAATTTCCAAAGAGAGCCCGCCGAAAGGAAGGAAATACGCGTCTAACTCAAACCAGAAGATGTTGCAACGATTCAGGTATCGTTGAATACATGTAGCTCAGAGTGAGGTGATGAATATACCAAGGCCAAAAGCGTTGGCAATGTCTGCAGTGAAGAAATCGAAATGCTGGATTCCCAGCATTTCGGGATAGATTTCACCCCTGTATACTTATCTAACTGGTGAAAACTATATCAGCATTTCAGGAGACCAGAACTTAATTAAACTACACTTTAAAGCTATAATTTAGTATATGAGAGCTGGGATAGCTAAAAAACTTAGTGTGAGCATCTTCACCGCGGCCGCGCCGTCACTATCTCTATCGCCATAGCAGCAATTCAACGAGAAACAAAGTCGCGCGCGTTGCACGAAGAAGCTCTGAAATCTACGACTTACCTGTTACCTGGCATGTAAATTTGCTTTCCATTACAACGCATCTCCTGCGCCTGCTTCGCAGCCGCAGCTGACTGACTTAGTGCCTATCAGGATTTTTTATTTATGAGCTTTTCGCCCGTCGACCATTATCATCTTCTGCAGACGCAAAATTTTCTTTCTTTATATTTTTTAGTAGCCACCTCAGCAACGTAGTACTAGATGCACTTGAGTGCGAGGGGGTTAAAGAGGTGACGGATGCGTGCGTTCGGCTGGAGGTGCAACACTGAAAACACGCGTTGTACTTCCTTACCTGCCAAGTAATATTAATACATGTAGTTGAATGTGCATCACTTACGGCCTCGCGGCGACAACCTGACACCGCTGATCACCGATGTGTGGACTGGTACGCGGTAAGCCGTCGCTTTCGAGGTGTCTTCCATCCATCTCGAGCTTGTGTCGGATTTGAGATGGAGAGCATAGGCGCCAATCAGTTAACTTCAGTTACCGGGGCCAGTTTTCCGGCTTCAGTATTACCGGCTTCAGTTACCGAGGTGCCGCCTAATTAATCTGTGTTGGGCTGTCCCACCGGGATTACTGCTATCCCAGAAAAAATATTTCACATAACAAGTGTTTAACTCAGAAACACAAACCTTAAGGCCCATTCCTAACCGGTTAGTTTGACAAATAACTAGGGCTCCGCGAAGGCTGGGATAGGAGGGTTTTGGGATAAACCCCTGTATTAGTTGTTTTTTAACGATCCACGGTCATCTCCTGCTCCTGCTTCGCAGCCGCAGCATCTGCCCGGTAATTTACCTCAACGGCGAAGATGCAAGACACGACTTGGCAGTAATTGTACACAGTAATAAAACGAACCTTGCTCGAGATCTGCTTGTAGCTTGTAGAGAAATGAAAATGCTTGCCGTTGTATGCTACTACAGTAGTCCATCCGCTTTAATCATTCACTTTACCGGTACTTCACACCATCCGGTTCGATATATGTTATTGACTCATATCGGTTCAAACTGCCCACGCATATAAACCTTTTCAGTGCGGCACCAGAGCCGTACCGGTTTCAAGAAATATACCAGTTAGGTGTCAAGAGGGGTCATCGTTTGACTTGATGTACCACGGATACTAGGGCTCCGCGAAGGCTGGGATAGGAGGATTTTGGTATAAACCCCCTCTTTAGTTTTATTGATGTCTTTTCTTATGACGGTCATCTCCTGCCCGAAAATTGTCCTTAAGACTGTAGATGCCAGATATCAACTGGCAACGCTTTACAACAAATGCGAACCTTGGCTGAGATCTGTTTGGGAAGTTTTATACTTGAAAATGCAAATGCTTATTTCCAGTGCTACAACAGTCCGTCTCAATCGTTCTCTTTACTTCAATTCGTTCACTGCTCGAATATGTATTGAATCATACCAGTATCGTCGGTTGCACACTGGTTGGACCTGTCCACGCATATAAACCTTTTGGAGGCAACAGTGTGGCACCGGATTCATACCGGTGTAATAAATATTCTACCGGTTCGATTTGCCCACGCAGTGCATCACTGGGGCCATACCGGTTTCAAGAAAATATACCAGAGGACCAATATAATCCTATTTGGTCTGCGATAGCAGCACTAACGTTGCTTCCTATCCCAGTATAATTCTAATTACCATCCTAACTTCGTGTGGTACAATTGACAGCCAACAGGCAGTTGCCGTCCAAGCGCTGCTTAAAGTACGCGGTGACGCGGCGACCGTACTCGCGCCAGTTCTCCCATTCGGCCTGCTCTTCGGCTGGAAGGCTCGGAAACATATCGACATTCATGGCATGGTCGCGCTCGGTATCATGCAAGCTCATCGAAGCCGTTACTTGATCATAGCGAAGGCGCTGGTGGCCACGCACGATCGCCATCTTGCGGCTCGGGTCGTTGCTGTACACCACGCGCTCGCCAAACGGAACCTTGCGCTTGAGTGAGCGCCCGACGCCAGTCTGCACGAACCCTCCCTCAGGCAGTCCTGTGATATCTGCCAGCGTGTTGAGAATGTCGTAGTGATCCACGGCGTCCTCGATCACAAGTCCAGCAGCTTCACCCAACCGACCCTCGGCGATGATAGCGCCTGCCACACGGGTCACAGACTCCTCGTGCGTGTTCGTAACGTCAGCTTCAGGCGCTTGGCCGTGGTCGCCTACGATGACGACGATGGTGTCGTTGAGGACGCCCTCCTTCTCCATGCGGTCCATGAATTTACCCAGCTGCATGTCCGTGAAGTAGCGCATTTCGAGGTAGTTCTTGATCATAGTCGAGTGTTTTTGCCCCTTGTAGAACGCGGAGAAGTCTGGCTTGTCGGCCTTAGCATACCATGCCGGGCGTGCTTTGAAAGGCGCATGGCTGGAAATGGTGTAGTGCGTGGTGAACAATGGCCTTTTGGGTAGACCCCGTGCAACTCGCTCTCGCTGCTCCCTCGTCTTGTCAATGAACATTTCACCCAAAAGCTGCAAGTTGATATCGTCGTGGACCCCCCACTTGAACCCACGACGTGCTTTGCCAGACCAGTCTCCACGCGGAATACCGAGTTTACTCTCAGCCAGAAGCTTCATTTCCTTGGATTCCAAGACGGTCTCAAAGCCGTGGGTAGGAAGAAACACATCCCAGTTCTCAAAGCGCGTCGGGCACCCCGTCGTGAAAAATGTTTCGTACCCCTTGGCCGTGAAGAGTTGGGGTAAACCAGACAGCTTTGTCTCCTTCCTTCCGCCGGTGATGCCTGTCTTCACAGTGCTGTCGTACGGAATCTGCGCGAATAGCAGACTCTCCAAAGACCTGCTCGTTGGGGTGCTCGACCACATATTGCGGAGAGCCACTCCGCGCTTGGCCCACCTGTCGAAGTTCGGCGTGATGGTCATGTTCGTTCCCTTGAACAGGTTGGACGGGTCTTCCTCTCCGACCAGGTAACGAGAGTCTTGGTAGCGGAAGGACTCGACTGCGATGACCAGGACGTTGGGAGGGTTCTCGTTGGAGATATTGACGTCGAAAGCGAGATCCCCCTGGAAGCCGGTGGTGCGTCGGTAAAGAGAATCGTCTCCAAACAGCTCGTACTTCTCAGTTGGGTGGATATACGTTTCGGCCCACGGTTTGTCGCCCTTCACTGTTGAAAATGTTGTGTCTGTCGGTGCGGGTTGAAAGGCGTGGCCGAACAATTCGTTAAGTGTCGCATTCATACCGGTGTACGCTACCAGCGGGGAACATGCGCAGCGTAGCGCGACTGCAACGGCGGGCATTACTACGGTACCCACGAGGATGATAGCTACCCGCAAACCGTGGTGGTAGATAGCGTTATAGTGCACACAGGAAAGCTTGCGAACGCCCTGATCTTTGGTGTTGGGCGACTCCAGCCTATCTGCGTCCTCTTCTAGAGCGACTTCCATGTACTTAAGACCACCCGCAGCCGCCACTACGTGCGTCGGGTTCCAAACCGACAGATCAGCCCACGCAGCCTTCACACGCACACACGCAAACAGCGTCGTGACAGCCACCAGCACGCCCGCCCCCACGTAGCCTCGGTGGATCTCCTCGGTCAATATCGGGGCCGCGCTCGCGAACTCCTTCTCGTTGATCGCCATCGTCACGAGGTCGAACGTGAAGCGCATGTCGCGGTTCACCACGAGCAGCAAGTCCGCGACGAAGGGCGTCATCAAGGCGAAGAACAGCAGCCACGACACCACAAACGTCGCGAGCGAGCCGACCGTCTGAGGCTTCAGGACGCACCTCCGCTTGCCGCCTTCAGCGCCGAACCGGTCGCCGACCTTGAGCTTCAGGACGTCAAACAGCCATAGCACACACACGAAGTAGGTGGTGCAGACCAAGTCCTCCACGAAGTCAAGACCCACCGACGCGAGCTTCACGCTCAAGACGTAGTCCTTGGCGCTGCTGTACATCATGATGAGCTCTCTCAGCGCCAGCTAGCGACTGGTGGAGAAGCAGAAGAGCGTGAAGGCGTAGACGAACAACCATCCAAACCACGGAGCGCTCTGCAGGTCAGCAGCACTCAGAAAAGTTTTGCTTGAATGCCGCATAGTCTTGATCTCCGGTTCGTCGTCCTGGTGGGCCAGTCTAGCAGCACGATATCGTCCAGAGCGGTCGTCTCTGCTGTGGTGAAGGCTGGGGGGCTCCGTTGCTGACGCGGAAGGTTCGCAAATGAAAGACAGCCACGAAAGAACACGGTGATGATAAACAAAGGATAGGATTGCATTTTTTCGGACGAAACCTTCCTGGTGGAGCAGACTCACCATCGCAGCGATTGCTGTACACTGGACGAGGCACCTGCCATTGTCTTCTGGTGAGCGCGTACATGTACATACGGTGGATCGGCATCGTATGGTTGAGCCGGGGAATTTACTGTAGCGTTATTACATGCATTATGCCAGATGCATGTAATAACGCTACAGTAAATTCCCCGGCTCAACATGCCGGAGTTCTAATATAGTACATGTACAGATCAATCCCGAGAGAAAAACAAAGAGTCTCCCGTCATTTTTGCCGTTGTCACCGTAGTGCAAAGAGCAATCCCGTTCAGCGTGTACATACGCACCTGAACTTTATCTGAGCCCCAATTGTGGCTGTCGCCCCGAGATCGTTAGAAGTTAACCCCAAATACAAATGTACGCTATCGATGCTGCTCAGCCAGCGCTCCGGTGCTGCAATTATCTTAGCCACTTTTGTACAAAGGCAATGCGCTTGCGACCTTATTGTTCATGACAATCTGAGGGTTGTCACGACCACGCAGCAAATAGTATTCGCTTGCCTTCGGAAACGCTCTCAAAAGAAGCACTTTATACTATTGTGCTTTGCAAACGTTTTGTCGTTTTGACTTGGAGCTCTCCTCGATTTATAATAAGTCGACATCGATTTAATAAAACGAGGTCAAAGAAAGGGACAGATCGATCTATTTAAGCCGGCCAGCAACTCGAGCTGCGACAAGCCAAATCAGGTCTCGAGGTCGATCTCCTGGCAGATTTGAGCAGAACGAGGTCGATCTACGACAAATCGATCCCTTTTGCGTTTTCAAAAGCGCAATTCGAGCCGATCTATAATAAATCGAGATCGCCCATGGTACCCCCTCTGATTTGTGCCCTGATTTGTGGACCGGCCTTCCTCGATCTAGGCCATAAAACGGGGCGACATTTTATCTGCAAAGCACAATAACGGTTTTGGTACAATCCCTTTTACCAGTTTTCTTTTTTTCATCTCGTGCCCGGCAAAGTGTGGCGACAATAATAAAACGAGCTTTGCCAGATCAAAATCGAAAGTTATAACATTGATTGAAATAATTATATTGAAATATCTTCATATGGAATATACATCAAGTTTATTGGATTCCATTGCAAAACGTTTTACAATTATCTTTGAATACCCTCTCTTGGCGGCTTGCTAAAGTACATTTCTCTACAGGAGAAATTGGTGATCCCTGCGTGGGCACTATTTCAAGCAATGTTATATATTCAGTTTGGGTTGGCTGGAAAAGGAGTCAGCTTTATGGGACTCGAGAATCTCATTGCTCCCGAATCATGTCCTATTTAATAATAATTAAAACCATTATTAATAAAATAAGGTATTGTGCTTTGCAATGTTTTTGGCAATATGAGGCGAGATTTGTTGTATTTATAGCGACCACCTGCTAGATTTACGATAAATCGAGGTGCATAAGTGGGTGGAGGCCTAGAATTACGCTAAAAGCGCCACAATTGCACTTTTGAAAGTGCAATTGTGGCTGTGCAGCTGCAATTCTGTCGGTTTTTATCCACAAGCACCTACACACACGGCAATTATGCATAAGAGGGTGGATGTGCTGGGGATCGTGGACGGTGGTGTACTGGGGCCAATGCATGGCTGCTGACAGGCCCTCCCAAGTCGATATATATATGAGGAGGTGGATTTATGCATAATTTTAGCAGGTCGTGTATCTTCTTTCACACATATTTAGGAGCAGGCTTTGCCATATTTTGTCGGCAAAATAACTGCAAAGCACAATAAATGATATTTTATATTTCAAAATAGTTATATAATAATATAACTTATTATTCAAAATATATGCAATCAAATCATTTACAAAAAATAAATACAAGAGCATTTCCATGTATACTCAACATCAGTCGATATGCATCCAAGTTGCCTTGAATCCTGGAGGGGTACATGTACGGCGACTTCACTAGAGCCAGCAGTATATTACTTCCGATGTACTTCTCAAGCTTGCTGTGCATGTATACATTGTTGTCCTCCTGCTTCCTAAGCTTTGAAATATTCAGCGTACATGTATCCAGACGAGTTGATCCAAAATGTAAAGGACATCGCCATTCTAAGCTAAACCGTAAACTGTAAACGAAGACCCTTAGGATCTTCGGTCACTGCCAAGCAATGATCCGTAGGCAGACACGTGAAGAAACTATCAACACGAATTAGAAAGAAGTAAAAAGTGAGAGAGCCACACGTCATTTTGCACTGTAGCGTCGATGATGACGGCCATCCACACATCCCTGGCTCAAGTCATGCTGTTCGAAGTGACAAAACCACCATCCGTCTACAGCGCAACACTAACCCGTGGCAGAAGCTCTCGCCAACTTTACCGCCAGAAGTGAAGCCGAGACCTCGTGTTGTCGTTGTGCACGCAGGATAAATTTCGCGATGGGGTACGCCCCGTTCTAACAGAAAAAAATCGTTTGCGAGCTTCAAATCGGCTTTTCGCAGCGCGTACCATTCCCAGCCGCAGTTTAGGGAACAGGTTTCCCCAATCCTCGCAATGCAATCTGCTCCTCTTGGCGATGAATTGCCGCTCACTTCTGAGTTTGCTGTCACCCCGCGACGTCGGCCCGATGGAATCTCACAGCTTGCTCGCCGGCTCAAGGGACCACCAGGAGACTCGATACCGCTTCCCGGAACCTGTCGACGAGGACGACGAAGCGTTCGCCGGTGAAGAGGTATCGGAGACCAAGGGCGTTCGGCAGAGGAGGCAGACGAAGGAGATTTTCACGCTTGCGGAGCTCACTGCAAAGGTCTGGTGTGGCTGGTTGTTCGTCTACGCTTTCGTGCTGTGCTGCTTCTCCTTTGCTCGATGCCTCGCTCTCCCAGCGCTGGTCGAGATGTACGGCAGCCCTCAGGACTACACATTGGGCTTCACGATGGCAGCGCTGGGGCTCGGACTGCTGGAGGACTTCGTCTGCGCGACCTACTTCGTGTGCGCGCTATGGCTGTTTGATGTTGCTAAGAGGAGGGTGACCGAGCGGTTCGGCGAGAAGGACGGAGTGGCCACTTGTCTGGCGACGAACATTGCGACGTTTGTGGTGTCGTGGCTGCTGTTCTTCGCCATGATGGCGCCCTTCGTCGCCGACTTGATGCTGGTGGCCAACCGCAACATGCGCTTCACGTTCGACCTCGTGGCGGCGCTGATCAGGGAGCGGCACCATCTCAATGCTGCGCCGATATCGGCCGACGAGATTCACCGAGGCTACATGAGTGGGGCGGCTCTGGTGGTGGTTGCTGCGCTCTTTGCGGCTGTGCGGATGTGGGCAAGCTGGACAGACCTGTCGACTTGGAACCCGACGCACCTTGTGGCGGGCTTCGCGGACTCACGGACTCGCGTCAGTGGAGTCAAATACACGGAGCTAACCCTCGAAGAAGGCACCGAGAGTCCAACGACTGGGGATGACGATGCAGTCCCAGCTCGTCGCGCGTACGAGAAGCTGCTGATCTCGCGCCACTTTGTGCGTCTTGCCGTCATTATTGTAGGTCTTGTCGTCGTCCCCGCGATTGTTGTGGCGATCCGATGCGCGTGCTCGCCGCTGGTGGCGTACTCGGGTCTGAACGCGACAGTGAACGAGCTATTCAGCCACGCGCTGCAGCCTACGCCGACCGACGCGATGCTCACCAATGTCAAGGACGACCAGCCCTGGCCAGAGATGTTCATCCACCCGACCGAGAAGTACGAGCTGTTTGGAGACGATTCTCTTTACCGACGCACCACCGGCTTCCAGGGGGATCTCGCTTTCGACGTCAACATCTCCAACGAGAACCCGCCCAACGTCTTAGTGATCGCAGTCGAGTCGTTCCGCTACAGGGACTCGCGCTACCTCGTCGGGGAGAAGGACCCGTCCAACCTGTTCAAGGGCACGAACCTGACCATCACGCCGAACTTCGACAGGTGGGCCAAGCGCGGAATCGCTCTCCGCAACATTTGGTCGAGTAACCCGACGAGCCGCTCGCTGGAGAGCTTGTTGTTCGCGCAGGTGCCGTACGATAGCGCCGTCAAGACCGGCATCACCGGCGGAAGGAAGGACACGAAGCTGTCCGGCTTGCCTCAGCTGTTCAAGCAGATGGGGTACGAGACGCAGTTCACCACGGGCTCTACCATCACGCTCGACAAGTGGAACGTCTTCCTGCCCACGCACGGCTACCAGACTGTGTGGGACGCCAAGACGCACCTCGTTCTGGGGGAGAATCACCTCAACATCAAGCGCTCGCACTGGTTCGGGAAGGAGCACCGCGCCTTCAACTGGGGCGTGCACGACGACGTGAGCTTCCAGCTACTGGGCGACCTGCTCATCCACAAGACCAACAAGCAGAAGATGCGCGTGGCGCAAGGGAAGCCCAAGAAGCCGCTATTTATCACGCATTACACCATCTCGAGCCACAGCCCGTTCAAGGCGCGGCCGTCCTGGTACGCCAAGAGCAAGAAGCCCGACTTCTCCGCGCTGTACGAGGGCGAAGAGCACGCCGAAGACACCAGGGACTACCTCGAAATGCGCCACTTCACGGACATGCAGCTGGGCAAGTTCTTGGACCGCATGGAGAACAAGGGGCTGCTCAAGGACACCATCGTGGTCATCATGGGCGACCACGGCCAAGCCCCTGAAGCGGACATTATGAACACACACGAGGAGTCGGTCACTCGTGTAGCAGGCGCCATCATCGCAGAGGGGCGACTGGGTGACGCTGCAGGCCTCGTGATCGAAGACGCGGCAGAGCAGTACGATATCCTCAACACCCTGGCAGACATCACGGGGCTACCCGAAGGAGGCTTCGAACAGACTGGAGTGGGGCGCTCGCTCAAGCGCAAGGTCCCGTTCGGACATCGCCCGGTATTTAGCAACGATCCCAACCGGAAGATGGCGATCGTCCGCGGTCGCCACCGCCTGCGATACGACCGCGTCACGGACTCGGTGCTGCTGCACGACACGGAGACGGACTTCTCGATGACCACGGACCTCTTCCCTGAGCTCCCACCGGAAGAGCAGGCGGAGTGGCTGGCGTGGCGCGACAGTGGGCGGAGACTCGTTGCCTACTATAAGCAGCGGTGGGACGACAAGTGCCTGCTAGCTGTCGACTGTACTGCGGAAAACTAGATTCAGACCACCAAAGCAACATTTTATGAACTCAATCAACTCAAATATGCCAGTGCCGTAGCACCTCCACAAGAGCAGCGATGAAGCGCGCTTCGTCCGCGGCCTTTTTCTTCCACGCTCGATATCTCCGCTGGATGTAGCGCGCGGCTGCGTGCTCCTCTGGCGGACGATGCGCGAAGTAGCGCGTGACTGTGAACTCCACCAGACTGGGCGTGGCCACTTCCTCGGACCAGGCGCTGGGACTTGCTCGACCGACGCGGTTTTCAGGAGAGATGCGGAAGCGATAGACGCGGTGCGGCTTGAGGAACGTCGCGTGTAGTTCAAGGCCTCGAGAGACAGTGACGTCGCCTCCGCTCTCCATCTTCTCTTGAAGTCGACCGTCGCTGCGGTTGGAGCGGACGCTGTACTCCACGTGAAATCCACGCAGAGCGGCTCCACCGTCGTGCGACGGGAGCTTCCAGGTCACGACGACGCTCGTGGGCGTCACGTCCGATACAGCAGGGGCTTCTGGAATGGCGTCGGGGACAGTTGGGGCTCTCATCTGCACCGGAACGCAGGCAACGCTGACACCACTCGCCCCTAAGCTGTTGCATGCACTCACAGTGGCGCTGTAGAAGGTCTCACCCCGTAGATGGCGCAGGAGGAACGCCACGGTCCTTGCATCCGAGCTGGGCTGGAATATATCGTGAGGCTTCAGAGTGAACTCGCGGCTTAGCTGACGAACGCGAACCCCGAACTGCGTGTCTTCCGAGTAGAGAGCGACATCGTAGGCGTCAATTGGAAGCCCGTTGCGCTTTGGAGGCGTCCACGCAAGCAGCAACGTGTGCGCTGTCGGCTCTAGAAGACTAGGAGCGTCGGGAATGCCCGGTACGTCGCACAGAGTGGCCACAGCGTCGCTGGGCAGGGACTCGAGAGACGTCAGCAGCTTGTTGTCCACCAGATTGGACGCGGACACCCACACTTGGACGGGACTACCAGGCTCTAAGCCAGTGAGAGTGTACTTGGTCCCAGCGATGGAGCGCGTAAGCAGGTCGACCGTGTGTTCCATAGTGCTGGAGCTGTCCTCGACCTGCTGACTCCACCTCAGTGTGTACTGCAAGACGTCGCTTCCATTGCAGCGAGGCTTCACCCACTGCACCTCGAGTTGGCGCTTGTCAACGTTCACGATCTCGGGTTTCTCGGGCTGGTCGGGGGCCATGCAGTCCATCTTGACATAGTCACTCACGCGCGAAAACTCGCCAAGCCCGCAGCGGTTCGACGCCGCCACCACGAACTGGTACACCTCGCCAGCCCAGAGTTCGTCCGCAGTATACGAGAGGGTGGCAACAGCCTGAGTGGGTTGCGCTGGAGCAGTTGGCTTCTTCGAGCGCGATACTTTTGCAGTTGTTCGAGACGAAGAGCTGTTGGTGGCGCTCTTGGCCTTCACGGCCTTCTCATGGTGCTTGCTGTCCTCAGCTGGAGCTGCAACTGCAGCGTCTTTTGTCTCTAGGGTATTTGAAGCTACCGATGAGCGTCTTGTACTCCCGGCAGCACTCAGATTTGGTGGCTCTACGACAGAAACTTTGATCTCGTCCACGGGGAGGGTGATTTCTCGTACCGGAACGAATGCGCTGTTCTCTGGTCTGCACTGAATGGTGTACGATAGAATCGCCGCGCCGTTCGGACACGGCGCCGTCCAGGAGAGCGTAATGCGCGTGGCTTCACGGTTCTCGTGTTGCACGGGGCGATCAATTTGTGACGGAACGAACGCGAGAGTTTCCACAGGCTCCGTGGCAACACTAAACTCACTTATTCCGATCTGAGTGACAGCACGCGTAAGTATGACGCTAATGCTCATTAATTATTCTGCGCAGAGCGTACCTGGTTAACTGCAGCGACTTGAAGCGTATACTTGACCCCTGGCTGGAGCTTGTCGATGGTTTTCGAGAGGTACTTTGCGGGGACTTCTGTATCTGGAATGGAGACCATATCACTGCCGTCGCCTATGAACGAGCTCACTTGTGTAGTTCGCACGATGTAATGGAGAATCTTGGCGCCGTTCGCCAGAGGCTCGACCCACGAAGTGTTGATGGAGAAGCGGTCGACTGAAACCACCATAGGCCTCTCGGGCGGGTCGGGGCTTGAAGGGCGAACGCGCCACATTATTGCGGTCGTGTCCTCACTGGAAGAGACGAGGAAGACGCCGCTGGGGTCGAAGGCGAGGGATCTGATGGCGTCGTTGTGCCCCGAAAGGCTGCACATGCATTCTGCTCGTGCGGGCGGATTCCTGCGCCAAACTTTAACCAAGTTGTCCGACCCACCCGTAGCGAGCAGCATTTCATAGACGTTTAAGTTGCACGTGGTCGGCGATGTCAGCGCGCAGCAAGTGATTGGCGCGCTATGGGCATCGAATACGGCCTCCAGCACGACTCCTTGCTCGAGTGACCAATATCGAATCGACCTGTCGAGCGCCACAGTCACCAGCAAGTCGAGCTCTTGAGCCACAGCACAGCCTGTAATTGTCGACGAGTGAGAAGAGAAGATTCCAGCCTGAGAGCACAGCGATTAGTTTGAAAGTTGACGAGAAGCTGCAGAATAATACAAAACTCACCGCTGTGCATTTAGAAAACGACCGAATCAATCGGCCATCCGCATCAGGGTTGGGAGGCACCCTCGTCAGAGTCTTGGTTGGAATACAGTCCATTGACAGGGACATAGCGGGTGTGAAGAGCCTCTCGAAGTCGAAGTTCTCCATACTTCGGAATTGCGTTCTCAACCGCGCACTCTCCTCCGGTGTCAGCGCATTGGCATCGCTTGCGTTGTTGTCCTCCCTTTTCGAACCTTCTTCTGCGTCCTTCTTACTGCTGACAAGAGCATTGAGGAGCTTTTGTGCTTCATCTTGGCTTGGGTCGATCTCTTCAATGATGTGGTCGACGCACTGCCGGATGTCGATTGCGTCGTTCCGCTCGCCTTCTGTTTGAGAGGGAGCAAGCAGCGTCAGCGTCTCCGCACGCTCACGGAAATTCATCCACTCGTGGTTCGGGACTAGAGCGGTCACGGATTCATCAAACGCGAAGAGGTTTGTCGACGACTCGATGGAGAACGAGAACGGGATCGCGCGCTGCCACCCGTCAAGTTGTTCACTGAGAGATGACAACGACATCTTCAATTTGTTTCCCTCGTCCTGGTTGTCCGTCGATGCATCAGATACATCCCATAGCTTTACGACACACCCATCGCAAGTAACCAGAGCCTGATCATCGACCGTGAACGCGAGACACGAAGCCCCCTCCTCATGAACGGGTAAAATCATCAAGAGCGTCAAATGAACCCCCTCATCTGCCTTTATTGGGCCAGAACAAGATCTTCGTGGTATGTCGGACTGTGTGGCGGTCGAGACTTTCCAGAGCATGCACGTCGAATCCCAAGAGGCAGTTGCAAGTAGTTGGCCATCGTGACTGAATGCCATCGAAGAGATTGCTTGCTGGTGGCCCGTGCAATAATGACTCGCCACGTCGAATGTACTCGCTGAGGTTTCGGCTGGAGTGATCATACTCTTCTGGTAGTCAAAGCAGCGAGCAATCGGCTCGTTGTCTGTGTACCCAACACATCCATGCGTTAGCCAGCAAACAACTTTACTTCACCGCACAAGCACCAACACTACGAACTTACACGTGGCAAACGCAAACACGATGGTGTCGAGCTCGGAGATTTTAGACAGAGCGGCCGCACCGCAGATGAACAGCGAGAGGGATGAAGATACGTCCAGAGTGCTGAGCAACTTCCCGTTGCTCAAGTTCCAGATAGAAATGCTATCATCGTAAGAAACAATGCAAAAGCGTAAGGGAACCAGCACTGCTTGTTGTCTTCTGACAGTGCCGCTACAACTCACCAGTCCAGTCCAAAGGTGAATAGAATCATAAGCTCCGTTGTACACTTGGGACCCGCAGCAACATGAACGATTGCGACGTCCGTGACGCTGCTTTGGTGGGTCTCAAACGCTCGGGTCTTCATGCCCGAAGTCAGTCGAGGACGTCGAGAATCCACATATTTGCCATCGACGAAGTAGAAGCCTGCACAGTAGAGCAAAACATTGTAACATCCAGACTAGTGACCCCTCCAATGGATGAATGAGCACCATGAACGAACCGTCTTCTCTCAGCGCGTCGTCATCCAGCTTCTTCTGCAGTGCATCGAGCATGGCTCGAGCATTCGCTCGGTCCTCGGCGCTGCGGCCATCGCCATGAATGGCGAAAAATTGTTTCCTCTGCTCATCCAGTTGCTTGCGTCGCGATGCCTTCCCCATATTGGGCGCGTCTCCTCGAGTTCGGAGGTGAAAACCGTTCGTATTAGTAAGTTTCAGCTTTTCTCGCGGTCTCAATACATGTAGGTCTCGTGGTGCTGCTTAACGACGTAAAGCCTCGGCCCTTATCTTTCCCTTTCCTCTTTGTCGTCAAATGCCGTCGATATGGGGTTGAGTTGAGATCACGAAAGCCAATCCTTGCGAGTTTTCAAGGAAGTCGAGAGTGCTTCTTAGCCGATGTAAACCGAAAAGGATTTAGGGAGTATAAGCATTAAGTATTGTCAATCGTAGCATTTAACGTTATTATCGTTGCTTATATTAAACAATACAATGCAAATTATCACGCGCCTTCCGTCGTTGTGCAGTTGACGGCAAGCAGGCAGTTCTCGTCCCAGCGCTGCTTGAAGTAGGAAGCAATTCTTCGTCCTCTGTCGCGCCAAGCGATCCACTCAGCTCGCTCTTCAGGAGAAATGAGGGCAAACAAATCCTGGGTCATGCCGTAATCTGCCTCCGTATCGTGCAGCATGACCGAGTCGATGATATCGTCGTAGCGCAGGCGCAGGTTGCCACGCACGATGGACATTTTGCGCAGCGGGTCGTTGCTGAAAACCACTCGCTGGCCGAAGGGGACTTTGCGCTTGAGCGAGCGCCCGACACCAGTCTGGATGAACCCTCCCTCCGGTACACCCGTGATGTCCGCCAGCGTGTTGAGGATATCGTACTGCTCGGCTGCGTCTTCGATCACGAGGCCTACAGAGTCTCCGAGCCGTCCCTCGGCGATGATGGCGGCTGGGACTCGCGTCACCGCCTCCTCGTGGGCGTTCTTCATCTCAACCTCCGGTGCTTGGCCGTGATCGCCCATGATAACGACGATTGTGTCGTTAAGGATGCCTGCCGTCTCCATGCGGTCCATGAACTTGCCCAGCTCCACGTCCGTAAAGTGCCGCATCTCGAGGTAGTTTTTAATGTGGTCTGCGCGCGTGTGGCCGTCATAAAAGGCCGAGAAATCGGGTTTCGTGGCGTTCGCGTACCAAGTCGGGCGCTTCTTGTACGGTTCGTGGCTGGAGATGGTGTAGTGCGTGATGAACGAGGGCTTCTTCGTCTGCCCCCTGGCCACGCGTTCGCTCTGCTCCTTCGTCTTGTTCATGAGCAGATCGCCCAGAACTCGGAAGCTCACATCGTCGTGAACCCCCCAGCGGAATCCGCGACGCTCAGGCCCGAACCATTCGTCGTGGGAAATGTTGTAGTTGGCTTCAGCGAACTCGACGATTTTGTGGTTATCCCACACCGCCTCATAGCCGTGAGTGGGCAGGAAGATGTCCCAATTGTCAAGCTTGATCGACGACCCGGTCGTAAAGTAGGTCTCGTACCCCTTGGCTGAAAACAACTGAGGTAAACCAGCGAGCTCCGTGCCGTTCCTTCCACCGGTGATGGCTGTGTTCACGTTGCTGTGATAAGGAACCTGTGCGAAGATCAAACTCTCCAGCGACCGGCTCGTGGGCGTACTGGACCAAATGTTGCGTAGAGCCACTCCGCGCTTGGCCCACTTGTCGAAGTTGGGCGTGATGGTCATGCTCGTTCCCTTGAACAGGTTGGACGGGTCTTCTTCTCCGACAAGGTAGCGAGAGTCTTGGTAGCGGAAAGACTCGACTCCAATGACCAGCACGTTAGGAGGGTTTTCCTTTGCGACCTTGACGTCGAACGCTAGATCCCCACGGAAACCCGTGGTGCGTCGGTATAGTGAGTCGGCGCCAAAGAGTGTGTGCCTCTCAGTCGGGTGGATAAACGTCTCGACCCAGGGCTTGTCGCCGAATTCATTCACGAACGTGGCATCCGTGGCTACTGGCTGCAGCGAGTGGGCGAACAGCTCGTTCAGGGTAGCGTTCAATCCACAGTAGACGACCAGCGGAGAGCACATGGAGCTGATCGCCATAAGACCGACGGGCATGGCTACAAGACCCGTAAGGACGACAACGACGGCTAGGACGCGCTCTCGGTCCAAGAGTCGTTCCCTTACGAGTGAGAGCTTGCCGACTGCGTTGTTATCTGCGCCCTCTTCAAGCGCAAGACCCTCGTACTTGGCGCCTTTGACAGATTTCGCAGCGGTTGCTTCAGCTCCAAGGTTCAGCAAGAGCGTAGGATTCCACCGAGCGAGATCCGCCCAACTAGCCCACAAGCGGATAAAGGCAAAGAGCGTAGTGACCATCACCAACGTCGCGCCGTACTTGTACCCTCTGTGGATTTCCTCGCTGGAGATCGGAGCCGCGCTCAGATACTCTCGCTCCCGGATTAACGTGGCCAGCAAGTCGAACGAGAACCGCATGTCTCGGTTCACTACGAGCAGCATATCGGCAACAAACGGTGCCATCATGAAGAAGAAGAGCAGCCACGACACAAAGTACGTGGTGGCATCTCCGACGACACGCGTGACGAACTCGTTCGGACCGAGCCGGTTAACAGCCTCGACTTTCAGCGTATCAAACAGCCACAGGATACCTGCGAAGTAGGTCGTACAGACAAAGTCCTCCAGAAATCCGAGTCCCAACGCTGCAGTCTTCAAGCCCGACGTGTAGTCCTGAGGGCTGCCATACATGCCCACGAGATCATGGAGAGTGAGGCATCGAGCGACGGAGAAGCAGAACAGCACGAACGCGTAGACGAACAACCAGCCACACCAGGGCATCGCAGCGAGCTCCGCGAGCGTCAGCATCTCCTTGGTCTGTCTCCTTCGACGAACGCCCTTGGTCTCCGACGCCTCGTCACCGACAAACGCTTTGTCGTCCTCGTCCACAGATTCCGGGAACCGACATCGAGTCTCTTGGTGATCCCTTGAGCCGGCGAGTAAGCCGAGAGCTTCCATGGCGTGGGGTGACGAGGGGAGGCTGCAAACTCACAAGTGAGTCCACGAGCCTCGGAGTCAGCTCTGCAGTGCAGCAGACCAGATTACGTCCGCCAATGTAAACTCTGGTTCGCGGACTGTTCGGCTGGAGATTATTTTGCTGTTAGAATGCGGTGGAGTGGATATCCCATCGCGAAGCTTATCTTCAAGGCTGTACAAGTTCACGAAGCTCAACCTCCTGGCTTCGCTTGTGGATGGCAAAGCTGCCGAGCTTTTGCCGGGGGTTAGTGTTGCATCGGTTGGCGATGGTGCTGATTACGAGTCGCACCTGCAGGTGTGACTCGTAGACTAACAACTGAGTCAGTTGACCGTCAACTTGACTGGTGCGGGTGGCGCGTGTCTACCGGTACTGCCAGTACCGGTACACACCAGTACCGTACTGGTACAATAAGTTACCTTTCGTTGACTTGATGTCCTCCTCCGCAGTCCTCCGTGACGTGGGGGCAATTGTTTGGGTGTCCGGATGACCCCTGGGCCTATTCCTCGGACTTACGCCGAGCTATGGAAAAGGTAAAGCGTCTGGGACCGCAATCGCCGGAAATTTGGCGGGTCCTACGCCTCGAGGTCGACTGCTTGAGGTAGACGTGTACAGAGAGCCCAGAAAATAGGGAATCGCCGTTAACCGCGAAGGACTTGGTACGTTGCGGCAACTTGGATCTAAGATGTTGGAGAGTCGAGTTGGGTCAGCTTCTTGTTGTCAGATTTTGGTTCATAATGATATTGTTCTTGGGTCTAGCTTTCTTACACACTACAAGTGGCAGCGAGCAAGCAGTTTGCATCACACCGTTGCTTAAAGTAAGCTGCAAGCCTTCGTCCACTGTCACGCGAGGTCTTCCATTTTGCTTGTTTTTCGGGTGAAAGATCGGGAAAGAGGTCGACGTTCATGGCATGATCAGCTTCAGTATCGTGTAGCATCATCGACTCAATAACCTTGGTCGTAGCGAAGCCGCTGGTGGCCACGCACGATCGCCATCTCGCGGCTCGGGTCGTTGCTGTACACCACGCGCTCGCCAAACGGAACCTTGCGCTTGAGTGAGCGCCCAACGCCAGTCTGCACGAACCCTCCCTCCGGCAGCCCCGTGATATCTGCCAACGTGTTGAGAATGTCGTAGTGCTCAACGGCGTCCTCGATCACAAGTCGAGCAGCTTCACCCAACCGATGATAGCGCCTGCCACACGGGTCACAGACTCCTCGTGCGTGTTCGTAACGTCAGCTTCAGGCGCTTGGCCGTGGTCGCCTACGATGACGACGATGGTGTCGTTGAGGACGCCCTCCTTCTCCATGCGGTCCATGAATTTACCCAGCTGCATGTCCGTGAAGTAGCGCATTTCGAGGTAGTTCTTGATCATAGTCGAGTGTTTTTGCCCCTTGTAGAACGCGGAGAAGTCTGGCTTGTCGGCCTTAGCATACCATGCCGGGCGTGCTTTGAAAGGCGCATGGCTGGAAATGGTGTAGTGCGTGGTAAACAATGGCCTTTTGGGTAGACCCCGTGCAACTCGCTCTCGCTGCTCCCTCGTCTTGTCAATGAACATTTCACCCAAAAGCTGCAAGTTGATATCGTCGTGGACCCCCCACTTGAACCCACGACGTGCTTTGCCAGACCAGTCTCCACGCGGAATACCGAGTTTACTCTCAGCCAGAAGCTTCATTTCCTTGGATTCCAAGACGGTCTCAAAGCCGTGGGTAGGAAGAAACACATCCCAGTTCTCAAAGCGCGTCGGGCACCCCGTCGTGAAAAATGTTTCGTACCCCTTGGCCTTGAAGAGTTGGGGTAAACCAGACAGCTTTGTCTCCTTCCTTCCGCCGGTGATGCCTGTCTTCACAGTGCTGTCGTACGGAATCTGCACGAATAGCAGACTCTCCAAAGACCTGCTCTTTGGGGTGCTCGACCACATATTGCGGAGAGCCACTCTGCGCTTGGCCCACCTGTCGAAGTTCGGCGTGATGGTCATGTTCGTTCCCTTGAACAGGTTGGACGGGTCTTCCTCTCCGACCAGGTAACGAGAGTCTTGGTAGCGGAAGGACTCGACTGCGATGACCAGGACGTTGGGAGGGTTCTCGTTGGAGATATTGACGTCGAAAGCGAGATCCCCCTGGAAGCCGGTGGTGCGTCGGTAAAGTGAATCGTCTCCAAACAGCTCGTACTTCTCAGTTGGGTGGATATACGTTTCGGCCCACGGTTTGTCGCCCTTCACTGTTGTAAATGTTGTGTCTGTCGGTGCGGGTTGAAAGGCGTGGCCGAACAACTCGTTAAGTGTCGCATTCATACCGGTGTACGCTACCAGCGGGGAACATGCGCAGCGTAGCGCGACTGCAACGGCGGGCATTACTACGGTACCCACGAGGATGATAGCTACCCGCAAACCGTGGTGGTAGATAGCGTTATAGTGCACACAGGAAAGCTTGCGAACGCCCTGATCTTTGGTGTTGGGCGACTCCAGCCTATCTGCGTCCTCTTCTAGAGCGACTTCCATGTACTTAAGACCACCCGCAGCCGCCACTACGTGCGTCGGGTTCCAAACCGACAGATCAGCCCACGCAGCCTTCACACGCACACACGCAAACAGCGTCGTGACAGCCACCAGCACGCCCGCCCCCACGTAGCCTCGGTGGATCTCCTCGGTCGATATCGGGGCCGCGCTCGCGAACTCCTTCTCGTTGATCGCCATCGTCACGAGGTCGAACGTGAAGCGCATGTCGCGGTTCACCACGAGCAGCAAGTCCGCGACGAAGGGCGTCATCAAGGCGAAGAACAGCAGCCACGACACCACAAACGTCGCGAGCGAGCCGACCGTCTGAGGCTTCAGGACGCACCTCCGCTTGCCGCCTTCAGCGCCGAACCGGTCGCCGACCGTGCGCTTCAGGGAGTCAAACAGCCACAGTGCGCACACGAAGTAGGTGGTGCAGACCAAGTCCTCCACGAAACCAAGGCCCATCGAAGCGAGCTTCACGCTTAAGACGTAGTCCTTGGCGCTGCTGTACATCATGATGACCTCTCTCAGCGCCAGCCAACGACTGGCGGAGAAGCAGAAGAGCGTGAAGGCGTAGACGGACAGCCACCCGAACCACGGAGCGCTCAGCAGGTCAGCAGGGCTGAGAAAGCCGCTGCTTGGGCGACGACTGGTCTTGGTCTCCGATGCGGCGTCGGCGCATCCTTCGGCGTCATCGTGGTCGACTTGGTCAAGAAAGCGATATCGTGCAGAGTGATGGCTATCTCTGCTGCGACGAAGGAAGTTGCTGGACTCCATCGCGCTACTGCAGTCTCGTGAAATTCACGAATGTATCCAATGGATAGTCACCGCACGGTACTAGTATTTAACGAGAAATGATGACATTCGAGATTGGACAGCGTGTCCTCTGATCTTCGTGGCGTTTTCACTGTTAGACTCTGGCATGCTGACCTGCCCCAATGGGGGCCCCATCGCGCCACTGACGCCCACAACCGGACGAAGCCATTGCTTGCTTGCCCGCTGAGAGCAGATCATGTCTGTGAGCCAGGACCCTCAAATCGGTTGGGACCGGTCCGGAAAAGAATTAACAGTTAGGTTTTTTTCATAAAAAACCTCAAAGCATCTCGATGTATGATTGGTCAAAGTACCTCTATGTACCACACTTCATTGGACAAAACTCTAACATCAGTGATTTGTATGCAAAAAACCTCAAACACTATTGGCTGTTTTTCTTGCCTTGGAATATTCAATTGTTTACGACATTATATCACAGGAATAAAATCTCTTTCCGCTTTCTCATGTGTATTTCCAAGTTCTAATCTGATCATTTTTGATGGCGCAGCGAATTTAAACCTCACACCTGTGGAAACGGATTGTTTAAACGGCCCGATAACTACCTGAAAGGGCGGGAAAATGGATTTATCAAAAATACTACGTGATACACCAGATCCAGAGCTTAAATTTAAGGGCAGCTACAGCTCTGTTGAAGCAGTAGAACGCAATATATAGTCTGATTAGAGAACTGTTAATTCTTTAGCGGACCGGAGAAGTATTCATCACGCTACTGTAGGGGCCACAGCGGGCGGCCTGACGACCGCGCTTGCCCGGATCCGGACTGTCAATGCCTCACTGAAACAATTAACCACATTTTGTGGGGCTGCAGAAAAGCGGAGGCCGCGTGGATGACGTGGATCAACAAGTGGATGGGATACACGACCCAACCACCGCAAATAGCAGAACTTCGTGTGCTTTTTTGGCTAAAGCTCAGCTGTGTATCGGCCGATGGACCCCACATCACACAGAAGCAATGGAGATTTTGTGGCGAATCTGGTCAACTGTGACACCAGCGCTACTATGGAGGCTTCGCAATGACGCAGTCTTCAAGGAGAAAATGACCAACGAAAGAGAGACCAGGGCGGCCGTCAAGACTGCAGGAGCCTACCAAGTACGAGCGATTGCTTACGCGTGGAAACAGCAACCGGCAAAGCGAATTCAAGGCTTCTGTCTTGAAATTTGCAACAGCATCATGATGGCGCTGAACGAAGAGGAAGACGCTCCAAACCTAGATGTCTGGAACATCCACTTCAGCACGCACACCACTAAGGACAAATTGACCACGGGAGGGTGGGTCAGACGGCCTCTCAACAGTGGATTCCCAGAAAAGCAGGAAGTCTCTACTTGGGGCTAACAAACACACCGACGGACGCCGCAGCACGAACGCTGAACCAAGGGTTGACAGAGCTCAATGTGATGACTACCCCGGGCTCGACGTATCTCCGCATTGATAGTCTTGACAAGAAACTACAAGTGGAGCTTCAACAACTCAAGGCTGACATTCAAGCAACGGGCCCAGTAGCCGCGCTCGCCAAGGACTTGAACGCGATTTTCTCAGTGCAGTGGGGTTCACCTGCTGGAACTGCGCTCCGAGCGGCTAAGTTGATGGCAAAAACAAGCACTACAACCATCTACGATACCCACAGCACAGGCGGAGCTTTGATCCCCAACTCTAGGACAAGGAAAACGATTGCAGACTCCACACCCCAGTTGCAAAAGCAACAACAACACTCAAAGACGGTCGACATACAGGCACGTCTCACTACATATGTTAATCAAGCTCAAATAGAAGGCCGCTTAAACCAGACGCTACTGTAGGGGTACGTGAGCCTTTGCATGTTTGCCTGTCATTTGAGCAGGAAGCGGCAAAATGTGCCTGCCAGCGAACCGAGCAGCCGCCATAACCATGACGAGGGGGCACAAGTTCTACATACAACGGTGACAGGATGCTCGAACCCGGCCCCAACGTGTCAAGTACTTTTGCATGATTCTTGCCAAGATCAAGCCTAGCAGGCCCGTAGTTACACGTAGTGCAACAGTGACCATGGCACTGAGAAGCACTAGTAGTGGGTCATGGAACATTACGCCGGCAGTTTTTTTCCTTACCGTAATTTACCACCGAGAACATTCCTGAAACCTTCTTTCGGGACAGCAGCGATTTCAACGACGACCCCTCTCGACCACTTGAGAGCGAGAGCCACGTCTTTTCGATATGAGGGTAGTTTTAGAACCTCTGAACCGGTCAGATCTAATAGACGTTGATTTGACGACGCCCACTTTATAGCGAGAGCCACGTCTTTTGGATCTTAGGGCGGTTCGGGACCGCTCGTTCAAACTATATTGATAAAACCAATAGAACATTACGCCGGCAGTTTTTTATTTTCATAATTTCTTACCGTAATTTACCTCCGAGAACGGTGCTAGAACGATCTTTGTGGATAGTCGTCCGTTTTACCAACACGACCTCTCAACCACCTCAGAGCTCAAGGAGGCGTCCCTTAGCCAGCGACCAGACGCGCGACCCTGTAGTCGTGCAGGATCGCACATGCGAGGGTAAGATGAAACTCCCAATATTTACTGGCACATTACGACGTCATTTTCAGAATTAATTTTTTTCAAAAAAATTAAGAGGCTATGTATATAGATACCCACACATAGAACATGACGATCGAACTATCTTTCGGAAAATACAAAGGTCAATCCATTGAGGATGTATTCAAGAATGATCCTGGATACTGTCGTTGGATTCACAACCAATCCAGTCTCAACATTAGTGAGGAAATGAAAAAAATTCTTCACTCAAGATTCCTAAATAACGATAACTCCTATATGATGACGTGGGGTAAGTATCGAGGCAAATCTTTACAGCAGACCAGTAAATTGGATCCAGGCTATCTCGATTGGCTAAGAAAAAGTCAATTCGTGATTGACAAGTGTCCAAAGCTACGCAAGGAACTGAACTAAAAAATATCTTTTTTTTACTTACGCTGTAGTGAAGTCTAGAACCTCTCCGGTTAGTCTATCGAACAGCACTTGCAACAGTAGCTGATGTGGAGGGGTATGTACCCGCTGTGAGACCAACTACTTTACCGAATTCAGCATTATCGATGATCAGTCGAGGAACGCGAGTAGTAGTCGGCAATCCAGTACCACCAGAGGAGTATAAACCGGAGGTAGGTCTGGTCCATGTTCAACCGGTAGTTGGTAGAGTTGTAGGCGTAGGAGAGAAATCAAGCTGACAAGCGTAATAGACACTGTTAGCACTCATTTTGATATAGAATACGTTATTCCCCGACGGATCGATTAGATACGCCCCAGCATTGACAAAAGCGGTCTGAATGCTTCGGTTGATATCGTCATACGAATAAATACCATCAGGGAGGGATACACTGATTGTGGATGTAGTTGCAGCGGTAGGTACTTCGATTTTGAACGTTGTGTTCTGAAATTGCATTGAATCAATGTTATACTCACTGTTATACATCGAAATCGATTGAATGGCACATACTACATCGCGGAAGTCAGCCGCCGATCCGGGAAAGGAGTATTTCCAGGTTGAATTGGTTCCATTTTGTACCAGATTGGTGCTGTCGAGTTTGATAAAGCTGGACATATTGATTATATGTTTGTAGGCATATTTTTGTTTGATAAATTGGAATTAGTCCTCGATACGAATCGGTCTATCGAAGTTATACGTGATCTGACCCTTGACCGAATCAATGAAGAGCATTTCGCCCTTTCGCTCCGTGGCTTTGTTGTAATAATAGATGATTGAACGCTCATCTACTCCCTTGATATTAAAATCTTTCACAACCATCTGGAGGTCTCGCTTAGAATTAGCTTTCAGGATCGCTACGTACTCTGAGTTCAATCTGATCATCTTGTCCGTTGCGAAGTAGCTGTGGCTCAAGAAGATGGTTGATAGCTTGAAGTGGCGCACTCTAGTGAAGTAATGTGAGAACAAATTCTTCTGAAGAAGCTTATCGTTGCTGTAGTCATCGATGATGACGAGCTCAGGCTTATTGGAATTAATTGGTGTATGACGTACCCGTTCAACACTCGGAGGCGAGTCAGGGTCGGCGAATGTGATAAAGCCATCAAGCTTATCACGAAGATACTCATATAACTCCTGGTGAGGATTACGAGCAATGATCGTTAGATGAGCAAATACGTGAGGAGAATGCTTGAGGATGAACATACATAAGTTGTTCTTCCCTGAGAACGATGGCCCCAGAACCACCATTCTAAACAGCGCTTTGATGTCAAGTGCAGGAATATCACCCATAGAGACGCTTTTGAATTTTTTAGGGATTGAAGCTCCGAAATCTGGAATACCGCTCATGATTGTCGTCTAAACTATATAGGATCAAACAAAGATGAGTTCAGGTTTTTCTTATCCTAGCCCGATATTCACATCGCCGATTTATAATCCGGCATTCTTTCTCCAATTGGATGCCAGCGGGTTTCTAACGTATGACTATGCTCAGACTCTTTATCTGAACAAGTATGACTATCACTTGACGTACATTACCGGTATCTCTCAAGGCGTAGCATCACCTGGTGTAGCGCTTGTCCCTGGAAGTGGTGGGAACATCAGCAGTCTTGGAGCACTAAGCTGTAGTAGCTTAACTGTTAATGGTGCTTCCGTTTCAGGCGTACCAACGTATGTAGCTGATATTACTCCAGGTACTGCCGCTATCAACAAAGCTCTGGTACTTGGTGCATCAGGTGAAATTGCTACTATTAGCAGTTTGACGGCAACGTCGATTACTGGCACGCTGCAGACAGCGGCTCAGCCTAATTTTACTAGCTTAGGCACGCTATCGTCCCTCACCGTGAGTGGAAACATATCTGGTACATTGGCAACTGCTGCTCAGACCAACGTAACTAGTGTAGGGACACTCTCGTCGCTCACCGTGAGTGGAAACATCAATGGAACGCTAGCGACGGCTGCTCAACCAAATATCACCAGCTTAGGTACGCTTACTGGATTGACTATCGGAGGCAGTTTAACCTTTACTGGTGCAAGTCGATCCATTACAGGTCTTAGCTCGCTAACTGCAACTAACATTACTGGTACGCTACAGACTGCTGCTCAGCCTAATATAACACCGTTAGGTACTCTAACCGCTGTAAATTGCTCGGGTAATGTATCGGGTACGCTAACAACAGCTGCTCAGCCCAACATTACCAGCCTAGGAACCCTGAGCTCGCTCACAGCGACGTCGATAACAGGAACGCTACAAAACGCTGCTCAGCCTAATATTACTAGTCTAGGTACGCTTAGCAATCTAACCCTTAGCGCTGGTGGAACCGGTTTATTCATTCCGAATGTGAAATTTTGGGATGGAGTCAGTTCTTGGATAAATTTCAATCATGCTTACTTTCTCAATGTTATCGAAGGGGGCGCTTCAGCCAGTATCGTTGTGGTTCTCAATAGTACGAAAGATTACTCAGGCATTCGTGATCTAACCATATCACGAAACTTTATAGCTTCGACTTCAATATCATCGCCTACGATCACATGTGATACGATTAGTAAGTCAGGTACTCAAACTATGAATGCAACGACCTTGAATATCAATCCTACTACGCTTCAACTCAGGGGAGATACTCTCAATGCTACAGGTGCGGAGCTGAACAAGCTTGCTGGATGCACAGCATCTACCGTTGAGCTGAACTATCTAGATCTTACCACCGGAGCAGGAACTGCAGAAGCAACAAAGGCTCTTGTACTAGACTCTAATAGTAGCATCTCATCAGGTATCTCATCTCTAACGTCAACCAATCTGATATCCACTACTTCTACCCAATATCAGATTGCGGCCGGGACATCATTTACATCAACAACGCGTGCCTCTAATTTTAATCTCATGATTCGTAATCAAAGCAATACGGTTGGCGCTCAGGCCGGATTATCGTTCACGATTGAAGGTACTAGTGATATGACAACGTACACCCCTAGCGTTAATCTATATTGTACTAGAACCGCTACGAGTCTTCAATATTCAATGGCTGATTTTGCAATCAGTACACGGTCAGGAGCTAATGCATTATCACCAATGACTGAACGTATGAGAATCACTCAAGCAGGATACATTCGCTTTGGATCAGCTACCAGTACTGCAAACATAGATATAGTTTCGAGCGCGAATTTACTAAGCGGGTCTTGGCAACGCGCAA